GCTCACAAAATTAAGCAGTTCTATCTGAACGGCGAGCCTGTTGGACAGGATACTTATCCGCAGCTAGTTAAGGTACGAGATTCCACTTCTTTACAAAAGTAAAGTGTCGTCTTTACACCTTACGATATTTCGTCGAAAGATATTTCGTCGTAAGGTTATAAGCATACGGCGTTTTTACGCGAGACAACGCGTCGATTCAGTCGCAATCAGTAAAACTTTGCACACTGTTCACAAATTTCGTGGCGTCGTAATCGCGCGTTCATGAAACGAGCTTCTTCTATGCTTATAAAATACGCTGTGTTCATATACGGCGATACAGACGCGCTGTAATCCCTCGTAAGCTTGCACAATCTTGTATGCATACGAGTTTGTCCAGAAACCTATAACTGCCACTGCAAACGCAGTGATTTGACCGTTAGTTTTGAAGGATAAGAGTTCTGGTAAAATTACTGGCACATGGGGCTTTTCAACTTATGTCTCATGGTGACTCTGAGCGGCTCTGCAACTGTTATGTACCGGAGTGTCGCTTACCACCAGGTGCACGACATTCGCGCGTTTTAATCAGAGACTCCTCAACTGTGGTACAATTTCGTCGATCGAAACAAGACTTACGCTAGTTTTATTATTACTATTAGATGGACCAATTTCGATGGACCAATCGTTTTCACATATCGTTTAAACATTTGGTAAAACATAAAAGATTTCTAAAATTTTCTAACGGTTATCCGATATCATGTTCGTCATTCCATGAATCGATGTCAACTCACGAAAAGCGCCAAACATGAAAAATGCCAACAAACAAACCACCACGACAAATTGTTCTTCATCACTTTCCAAATCCATTGTCTCGCACACACAAGTTACACTCGTCCGCTCGCTACGAAAAGTGGCGTCGGCAATACGATAGCTAGTAGTTGCGTCGGCAATCCGATTGCAGCAGATACAGCGGACGCACCGCCACAAACGGAGCCGTTTGATGCAGTCCGTCCGATGCGTGCGCTGCAGATCTGTGAACGCCTACCTTAAACATGAAGTGATAAGGCGAATCAGTGCAAATGTATGCGTGTATAAAATACGCCGTATGCATACGCTCAATGTTATACAATATCACAACGACACGACAGTGTCATCGTTATCTTTCAACGCCTTGACGTGAAGTCTCGCAGGAACCAAATATAATTTGCCTACACACGAAATAAAGATATTTAAAATCTGCGACCTTTTCTATTTCGTGAGACCTCCCA